AATGGAAGGGACGGAAAAAATGAGTTGAATGTGATTGGCAGCGGAGAGATTGGCGGATCTCGGTCATTTAGGGTAATGCTCTAAACTATCTTCTCCTTTTCTATTACCTCCTGAATCCTGGTTCTTCCGTATTCTGGTTTGCCTGGCACAGTTGTTTTCAGCATCGAGAGAAACTCCGGTTTTTCGCTGAAAACTCCCTTCTCAGAGTTTTATTCGCAAGTTTTTTACATATTCATCGCCAGTTGTTTCATAAGTTTAAAAAAAAAAATAATAAAAAAAAATTAGTAGATCCATGAATATATTAAAACCCTTTTAGGTAGTTTCCCTCAATATGGCGCTTATACCCATCGATCCGTCCAAGTGGAACTTGGTTTGCACGGATTAATATGAGAACCTTCCCGAGCAGGGCGAATGCGAGTTGACTCTGCAGATCGTGGGCCCGAACGGATCGGATTCTCGGCCTGTGACTTTCCGAGTCAGGCGGGAGAATACTTCTCTGATCCTCAGGGATGGATACGAGACGTTCGATTGGCACACGTTCCTCCATCACGTTGAGCGTTTCCGCATCGAGACCCGCGACCTCTATGAGAGGTTGATCCAAAAGACGGAGCTGGCGGGGTACTACATGGGGATGGCACAGTCCGCCACGGCTGTGGACACAGTCCGCCTGCAGTCGGACATCTCCCTACTGCGGGAGCAGGCGGCTTCGGAGGTTGCAGGTGCACGCCATGAGGCAGCGATGCACAACCAGTTGATAGCATGACGACGGGGAAGACGGGCCTGGGGCGCCAACACAAAAGTCTCGGTTGACTTTTTTAGACGACGCCGAGTCAGTGGCTGAGTCGCTGAAGGTGGAGTTCGACCCAATGGACGTCTGCACCTGGCGTCCTTGGTTCCGTGGGAAGACTCCCTACGAGATTGAGAAGCAGCTGAAGCACATTTTTCTTCGCGGCGAGGCACCCCGCACTGCGCCAGTGAATGATGCCTTCCAGGCGGTCCTGCGGTGGCTGTTGGCGGCGGAGGCCGACCCGCGGTATTGGGCTGACCACCAGGGCACTGGGCGCAGGATGGGTTTGACGTTGTTTTACAGGGTCAATGGATCCTCGTACAAGATGACGGAGACTGAGTTTCTGCAGGCGTGCGAGGAGAACTCGTACAATTTCGACCCGCTCCTCAAAGTTCTACGTTTGTCTGGCAAGAAGGACGCCTACAAGACGAAAGGGTCTTCTGGCCCCGCGAAAGGCAGCGGCGGAGGTAGGAAACTGGTCGACGGACCCCGCGAGCTTGGAGAAGGTGAGTCGACCACAGGTTCGGCGACCGACATTGGTGGAGATTGCAAAGTTGGTGCCGCACACAAATTTCGGAGGGGTGGCAAGCCGGCCGCACTCGTCACTACCGCCGGGAACGTCGGTAAACGATCATCGAATGTTTTGGGACGGGTTGGAGGCGGTGCCCCCTCACCTGTCGGCTCTGAGGAGCCAGGTCAACGAAGTGGCGGCAGACATGTACGAGCCGACCACATGGGAGCAGCGCACATCACTGCTCAGAGGCTTTCAGTCGTTTTGCCTCGAAGCCGGACTGCCGCTCAACCTCGACGCGGTGCCGGTTTTCCTGGAGTCGAAGGAGCTCAAGTACTCTACCAAGGTGCAGTACGGCACCACACTGAAGTCCCTGCTCACGAGGGAGATAGCGGTGGTAGACGCGTACCTGGCGGGATGCCGGAAGCGCGAGGCAAAGGAGGAGGTGCGTCAGGCAGCACCGATCACACCAGCGGACATGCGGGCCCTGGTGGAAGGGGCCCCTTCGTGGGCCGACGCCACTGTGATGCAGTTGGCATGGATGACCGCGTCGCGGTGGGGGGAGGTGAAGGATCTCCGAGGGGAGAACCTGCTGCCACAACCGGACGGGTCGGTGATTTTGGACTGGGCAGCCATTCCAAAAACGGCAAAGATCAATCCATACCGCGCACATCGGTATGTGAAGTTGCAGGGTCCCATGGCCCAGGAGCTGCGAAAGTTGAAGGCTCAGGTCGGGGAGAGCGGCAAGCTGACTGGGCTCACGACGACACAAATCGCACAGCGTCTGCGCGAGCGCGGATACTCAGCACACTCCATCAAGCGAGGAGCTCTTCAGTCAGCGGCACAGCTGGCCCAAGAGCACGCACTTCCCCCACGCTCGGTGGTGGCTCTCGCGAAGCACGCAGACCCTCTGGATATACCGACGACGACGGTTCGCTACATGGGCCCAAAAACCACGGAACTCACGAATTCTCACGTGCTGCCGGGTTTACTCGACCGTTTGGTTTTTCGGAAGTGAGTCAGGCACCTTGGATGGAACCAGAGCGGCGCGTTGCTTTTGGAGGGCACACGGTCCTCCGCCGAGCCAACAAAAGTCGTGTTGCGAGTGAGGAGGAGCAACGTTCTCTCCCCCTCCAGAACGTGGACGTGCAGCCGCTGAACGTCGAAATCTTGCGGTCACGCATGAAGGCGTCGGCCAAGGCGCGGTTTGACGAGTTATGGCGTTTACTGTCATCGCCGGAACAGCTCGATCCAGGAACGTCACCGCTCAGGACGATTTTTGAAGGTGATGCCCGAGTCCTCATGTCGGCAGGCGTCTTGGTGCCGGCGTCTCCGAGACCTACGCGGGGTTGGTTCGTTCCTTTCTCGGTTGTGGAGGAGAAACCTTCGGGGCTACGTAGGAGGTTTATCGCGTGGCCGAAAGAGAAGAACCTGGAGGACTCCTACGAGGCTGACGTGCCGTTGGGTCACATTTCCGCATACCTCGACGTTGTGTGGGAGGAAGGCGCATCCAATTTGGACCTGAAAGCCTCGTTTTACCAGGTACCGCTGCCTGAGGAGGCGCGTTCGGCTTTTCGTTGCCGCCTCGACGACGGCACCCTCGTTGAGCTGGCGCGGCTGCCGATGGGGTATGCTGCGAGTCCGGAGCTTATGCAGTTGTTAACGTCGGCGTTGGCAGGAGTACCCACTGTGGTCGATGCCGCCTTCGCCTGCCCAACGGCATTGAAAATCCACGTCTGGATAGACAATGTGAGAATTGCTGGTCCCCTGAAGGCCGTGGAGGCCTGGACGCGGCGTGTGACACAGTTCGCGCGGGACGCCAGCGTCACGATTGGTGAGTCGGAGGTTGCGGTTGCGTCATATACATTCGTCGGGGTGTTTTTTGATCACGCAACTCATACTGTACGTTTAGGTGAAAAGACATGGCGCCATCTGCGGGAGACCCCTCCTTTCGAGGAGATGACGGTGGGTGATTTGGAGGTCTTTACATCCCGCGCCATCTATGGCGCGGCGGTGCTGGGCGTCCGCCTGTTTCGTAACTACATGTTTCTGAAGTTTGTGAGACGCCAGCTGAGCTCCCTCAATAGAGGTAAGATCACCACCAGGAGCAAGATCACCATGACGCCCTACATCCGGGGTTTTCGCGTCTGATTTGTTGGAGGTCTTGCACCGAAACGAGGCGCGTCTCGTGCATCGGCCGGGGGGTGAGCCGACAGCCACATTGGTGACGGATGCTTCGCTCCAGGGTTGGGGGGCGGTTCTTTTTCTGGGCGCCGGTCCAGTATTCATCACGGGGGCTCGGTGGGATTCTTCACCGCGGATGATCATGCAGGCTGAGGCGCGTGCGGTGCACCTGGGGCTGCTGGCTTTTCGAGAGCGCCTACCGAGACGATTGTTTGTATTGATCGACAACACATCAGTTCTGGGGGCGGTGCGACGCGGAATTTCGAAATCGGGAGCGCTTGCGGCCGAGCTACAGCAGGTGGACCAACTTCTCCGCGACGAGGGGATACACGTGGTTTTCCGGTACATTCGGTCTGAGGACAACGTCGCGGATTTTCCCTCACGCGAACGCGACATTCCCACGACGGCTTTGGCGAAGGGGTATAACTTGCGAAGGGGAGACAGGGACCCATGGGATCCTTAAAAAGA